ATGAAGCATGAATTAATCCAGCTCTCTTATATGAGCTGTTACAGGAAAACATCTGGCAGTTTTGGCAATCTTCATTTTTACAACCATGTATCACTATGACCGTTCAAATCCACATCCACAATGATTGTCAACGTAACTGCATGTATACTCTTTAAGGTCCAACTGCATTAAAAAGGAACCGCAGCCCAGGACGCGTAACTTGGCAGAGTGAGTGCGTGAGTCGTGCCGTATGTGGAAGCAACAATGTAATCGACAAAAGGGGGTGTTTCTTCCAGCAAGGCGCATGCAATACAAAAATTCCCAGTGACTTCAGATCCAAGGAGGTGGTGATATTCATGGGAGCTCAATTCAAACTCTCTCACTTGGAGCACAGCTTCAGCAGCCCTGTAGCCAGCGCGCGGCTCCGTTTGCGCCACTTCTCTTGTTAAACATAAACTAAAACAGATGGAAGGATGTTTGCCTGAATGAACTTTTTTTTTCTACCCTGGAAAGAGAAAAACTGATAGTTCTTCACGTTTTCGGACAGTAGCTAAACACAGCTTTTGGTTACCTGAGGACATTCTGCGCGACTCTTACCTGGGCATTATGAGGAGGTATCCAGGCTTGTTCCATTCTTGGGAGAGGATGCCGCGTTTCTGAGCTCGTGCGGACAAGTCGCGTGTTTCACATTCGCTCCCATTTCAGTGGCTCTTCATCAAAACTGTAAGGCGATCTGCCCCTTTTACGCACTAATTTCAAAAGTTCTCACTTGTCCAAAATGGAGCGTGCTGGATTGGCTTTTCTGGTTGTTATAACTGTTGCGCTCGTGCGGGTTGGTGGCGGCCACAAGGAGACAGCAGGTGGGCAGGAAGACCAGCAGCAGCAGCAGCAGCAGTCCGGGGGGATCAGTCCGGGTCACTCGTCCAGGGGACTGCGCGACGGTGCGTCCTGGAAAACATCCGGTGAGAGTTTGCTCGGGAGCAGCCAGCCTGAGACCCCCGTGCGCGCGCCCCGGGGCGCATCCCATCCAGAGGACCGCAGGCACGAGTCCAGAGCGGGCCACCCCGCTGACGCGCCTCGGGAAGAGCCCGTCTCTGCGCAGCGCAACCCCAGACACCCGGGGGGCCAGCAGCAAAGGTCCAGAGTGAACCGCAGACAGAGCAGCAAGCCCAGCTCTGCAGGCTCTGCCAGGAGGCTCGTCGGGTAAGAGTGACAGCCATCCGATCCACATTCAACCAAGAAAAAAGCTCTACTGTCCTTTGTCACACTCTCCCAGGCTGTCCGGTTCAGTCCAGCAGCAGCGGTTGTGGAAGAATTTGTTTGACCTATTTTTACTGTAGCCAACACGAGTCCATGTGGTTTACTGTAATGTGGTGGCCCACTTTAGTGGAATTTTTTTTCTTCCTTTAAGGAAAACCAGAAGATGATGTAACAAGAGCTGCAAGCTCTGTATATGCTACATGAAGTTGTCATCCAGATATATGGAAATGGGAGAAATGCAATAATCCAGAGACTGTTTTGTTGCCGGGGTCAGGGCAGGACGTGGAATGATAACTGAGGTTAAGCACGCTGCTGATTATGGGGCTGATAATGCAAACTTAATCAGCAGCGAATGCACATTTGAGTGAGCGGTCTCAGTTTGAACTGTTTGAATTGGCGTGATTGCTCTCCTTTTTCTGTATGTTGGAGTTGCAGACAGAGTGGCTGCATGGCTTCGCCCTGCATGCCCCAGTTTCTGTCCTGCTGCCTTCTGTGGTGGCTCCAGCAAAGCTTTTGCTGTTGGATATTAGCAAATTCACATAATGATCAGAAACACCTGTGGTTGCTCTGTCTAACTCTAAACAGGACGGAGGGTTGTTTCCATATTATTCCTCTTTTCTTTTCGTTAAATAAAGCCTTGTGCATCCAGTCCTGTTTGCTCCGTTGGGACAAGGCTTGATCCACACGGGAAGGGTGGATGTTTACACGATAATCAGACAGGGATTTTAATGGCTCACCTTCGGCTGTAGACGGTGAAATATAAATATGCGTGTCATAACAAGGCCTCTTGCCTTCAGAAAAATTGAGTCTGTGGCCAGTTTCAGGCAGTTTTACTCCGTAAAGGCAAACATACTTTGCATAGTTTCTTGACAAACCTTTAATGATCACAAAGTGGGAAAGCACAAATTCTTTATAAACATCACTGATGCTACAGTTACGGCTGACCAGAGGTCCGGTCAAAGAAAATAGTTGCCTTCAGTATCAAAGCCAACATGTCTTAGTGCAGCATGAGATTAATTATTTTCTTGACGTTGCCAGAAAATAATATTTCGGGACTCATTGTAAAAGTTTTAATGTCTGTTTTTTTTTGTCTAGGGAAGCAGGGGTGTTGCATAAGTCTACAGAACTATTACCGTAAAGCAGTCTGCACGGTGATTTTAACGCTTTGACTCATTCGCTTCAGACAGATCATCTGCTGCTTGTTAGAGAGAGTGTTTTCATGACACATTTCCTGTTGGAATTCCCACACAGCCCAGTCATTTAGTGTACCCCTCATCACTTTTAGCACAGGAAACGCTTCAGATGGCTCAGCATCACTCCCTCTCTGTTTTCAGTGCACCTGTTGTATCTTTTATTGACGAAGAATTCTCCAGCACACAAAACTATAACAGTGTGAGCAAGATGGTATCTGAGAATTTGCGTATGACGCTTACACTTATGCGGAATTAAAGTTGCCATTAGGTCCATAAATCCCCAGATGGAATTTGAATGTGATGACTGACGCTTTGGCACGGGCCTGGCCTGATGCGCTTGATTTATGAAAAAGCCGAGCCTGCCAGAGGGCCCAAACATGTTCTTGTTATTCCTGTGACGCCTCAGTAACACTTGCACCATCTAATGAGAGCAATGCAACCGAGGTCAATGAGTCAGTCCCTGTTATCTCCTCTGAGTCAGACTTCCACTTACTGTAATATCCTCTGAAAAGATGACGGGGCACAGATCCCTGCCAGCGTGTTGACGGTTACCCTGAAGTTGCTCTTGCGGTTTTGTGCCTTTTCATCTCTCTCACCGCAAAAATTGGCCCGTGCTACAAGTGCAGATTAAAGAGTGTTTAAACCATGTCATCCTTCATTTGCTCAGTGATTTATAGAAGATGCAGGTTGCTTGTCATGTCTCTTTTAACCCCCTTCCAGGCTCAAATAACTTGGTTTGGGTTTATTTGGACCACCACATAACATAGACTTGTGAGTCTCTGTTACACTCATAGGTGTACACATCAACATTCAAGCCACATCAAAAACTGTACAATGTTACAACAGCTTTTGCAATTACATCTGTGTATTGTTGAACTGTTTGAGGGCATTCATACATTACAACATTTATTGCTCTGTGATTTTTATAAAGGCCGTTTGTGTTGAAATCCAATCAAGGCCTTATTCATCCTGGTCTTTGTATATGTGCTTCCCTGTTTAGGCCCAACGTCTGTGGAGGTCAGCAGTGCTGCTCTGGTTGGGCGTTGGCACCAGGAACCAACCGCTGCATAAAACGTGAGTATTAATAATGCGGTTTGATGATATGTAAACTGTAAAGTGGGAACCAACAACTTTTTCGATTAAGCTTATCATAATTAAATGAATGTCAATTGCACAATGTACTGGCCGGAGAATAATTACAGCTTTTATATTGGTTCTCTCGCTTTCACCATGTAATTCTGTCTCCAAGGATCGAGGAGCCTTGATTTATAGATTAAAATAATGGCGGCTGCCATTCCACATATATTATATTTATATTGTAAACTCAATAAATGAATAAACTTAAAGTTTTTCTCATCATAGCCATCCATCCAGATGCCAAGCCGAGCTGTACGTGTTTACAATTCGAAATATTTCTTCTCCAAATAAAATATGACTTGATTTGCCGTCATCCCACTCTTATTTACAAACTGTCAGTGTTTTCGTGCTCTGTGCTGTTTGTGGCCGCTTTGCAAATGGAAAGCCGTCCACACTTTTCAGCAGGGAGAGTTGGCAATATTACCACTTGGAAACAGGAGATGGGAATGTTGCCTCTCGCCATGTTTCATGAATGCAATTTGCATGTTTACTCTTTCATTCAACTGCTAAATTTCATTGTTTGGCATCCACGGCCATCCATGGGCGTCAGATCAGCAGCACGCTGACATGCGTCCTGTATATTAGTGCGTTCCCCACCAGTAAATTCCGACAACCGTACAATCGCGTGCAAAAATAACACAGTGAATGGATCCTAATGACTATTCTGTCAAGAGGAATTGCCCTATGAAAGTTTTTCTGGGGTGTTATTGCCCCCATGGTCACATTCATCATGTGGTGTTTGCCTTTTCTTTACACAAAAGTCCCTGCTTAGAAATTACAGCAGTTAACACAACTCTTTTTTTTTTTTTTTTTTTTACACGAGCCCATGATTATAGGTGCACCTACTTCTGCTTTTATTTGACCACAACAGCTTTGGAGAGCCAGGTTTTTTATAGTGTAGTAAAAGAAACTACCTGTTAATTAATAGTACAAAGATACAAGCTGAATGAGACCCTTATCATCCAATGTGTCTTTACCTGTGGACGGTCACAGAAAAGACTGAATCCACTTAAATCAATTTTTTGTGCCAATGTTGGGGAGAAAAGGGGTGCAGCAGAGCCATTTCTCAAATGTAATGTTTAGGTTTCATGTTTATGACCAACACTCTTTCCTGTTGGCAGAAATTGCAGGTTGGAATGAGATTCTTTTTAAAGTTGGAGTTATCTTTAAATTTTACAGGCAAAGTAAATACCTACACTCCATATCTCCACAGCAGCCAAAGTGGGTTTTTTTTAAACTTGTTTACTGTTTTCTCTGTTCCCTCTCTGCTAATTATTTCCCCCCGCACACACGCAAACACATTTCACACACATTTCAGCCAGTTAATTACACAACCAGCTGATTGGCCACAGCAGTCTACTTATTAAATCTCCTTCCCTCCTGCCCAGTGCAAAGCCCCCTTCCATCTTTCTCCCCAGATAGACTCTGTTAGAGAGGCATAAATTATAGTTAATGTGCAGACGAAGTTACCCCATTTAAAGGAGTAAATATTTTTAGTCTGTTGGAAAAGTAACAGGTTCAGTCTAATACGACTCTGTTAAACAAGGCAGTGCATCCGAACAGGCCAGGGGTCTGTCCGGCCATCTGGAGCTCCTTACAGCTTGGCCCTGGCCCAGGTCTGACTGGAGGCTATGCTATCATCAGCTGAGTGAAGCCCTACGTTCGGCGAGGTGCCAACACAAAGGCCCCAGACTCAAGCTAGGACTGGACGCCCCCTCATAGAAGACCTCCACGGACAAGAAAAGGCTTCAGGCTATCTTTATTCCGTCCTCGCCTCGAGTCCCAGGCTGCTTTATTGGGAGATGGCAGCATGAGAAAAAAACCTGTTCGCAGTGGGGGTAAAGAAAAGGAACAAACCTGTCAGCCAGAAGCAAAAGCGAAAACACAACGTGCTGAGCAATATTTAGAAAGTTCTTGCTTAAGGGGTTGATGTAACGTCTAATATCAAAAGTGTCAGCTGCAGGCTTGGATTGGTTGTCTAGAATCATGGCTTCTTAACAATACCTCTTTGTTGGATTGGACTCAGTCCAAAGCAAGTACACGTCAAGAACTCGATTGCTTTTTATTCAGGGAGTGCGCCTACATATTTCAGAAATATGTTTGTGTAAAAGATCCTGGCCCGGTCTGTGTGGGTCGACACGGAGACTGTCATCTGTCTTACTAAAACCTTGCCCCTGCCCAGGTCCTGGCAGGTTTATTGCAAAATGTCTCAACTTCACGATGGATGGTTACCAAATTTGTTATTAAAGCAACTAATATGCTGAAAATAGCCAGGGTTGCATGATAGAAAGCCTTGATTTCGTAAGAACGGCATTGCGATTTTAATGTGTTACATTTATCTGGGTGTTAGCCAAGTTACAGTCTTAATTAGACCTAAAAGCTAATAGATTTATTTAAGTGGTTCAATTGTTGTCAAGAACCAGAAATGTTTGTTTTGGCCGCCTTGTAAAAAAAAAAGGCTGTCCTGGTTGTTGTCAAGGTTCCTGTGAAGATAAATGCAGCATTTTGTTTCTGGGTCAGCACTTTCACTCAATCCTGATTTAGTTGAGATTCACATCTGGTCATCAAAAGTTCAGTTTCTTAGATGAAGAGCAGAGGGAGACCATGTTGCAGCCTCGCCCAGGAACAACCCAGCAGTAGTCTTGCTTTAGTTATTGGACAGGATTATTAGTCAGCTGCTGTTCTGCTGTTGTCATTGTTTTTGATTAAATACTTGTGTGAGACACTGCTGGTGTTGCTTTGTTATCTCTAGATAGCATATTGTTCTAGTTTCTATCAATTTGAAATGGTCGAGCAGAACTCAGATCATTCCCTGAACGCGCCGGTAATGGTAAGCCCCGGGAATGTTTTACAGCTGCCTAAACAATAATTGCCAAAAAGAGAAAGCAGCATGTTGGTTTTCTACCAAAAAATCTGCCCCACTGGGCATATTGTATTCGGAAAGGCCACTGTTTACAAAATAGCAAGTCACCTTGCTGTGGAATTAGAGTGGAAGTTCTAATTGCTGCGCTGTTTAAGGGTAAATACAGTAACCCTCAATTAGATGTCATGTACATGGGTGTGTGATTACTGTTTTAAAGTTTTGGTTGACAACACTTCTTGGAGGGAAAACAATGACACGAAGATCCTCTGAAGCCGTCTCATACTAAAGAACCGATTTGAATCAGAGCCCTTCTCATTTGTTCTGTCCTACAGATGTTTCATTCACATTTTCAGAGTCCTTAAAGAAGCTTTCAGTCAAAGCAGCATTAGCTGTGGGAGAGCTGGCCAAAAGATCACATGACAGAGTTACCATCCATGATGTGAATCCACAGTTTTTAGTTTAGTAATCACATGAGTTGGTACGGTTGCCTGGAAACAAAGCCCGATATACCCAAGACTAGTCAAGTCCCAAGTCTTCTTTACGATTTTTAATTTGAATTTGGTGGTTTTCTGTTAGACTGGTGTACAAAATGTATGCAATGTTAAACATTACTCATTTAGTATGAAATTACCTCATTTTTTCCTATTTTTTGCACTGCAACATAACCACATTCTTTGTTAAGAACTGATTACAAAGTGGAGCTGACGCAGAAGGGTGTCAGAAAGACGCAGGTCTATTTTTGAAACTTGAATTTCATATAGGAAAAATGGAGGAATCCCCAAACTGACCACTAAATTGTTCTCTCTTGAGGGACATGGATCTAAAACAGATTTACAAGGGAATCCACCCAGCTTAGCGATTACACATTTCACGCAGTTTATTGAAATGTTTTTTAAATGTTCCAGTCCACAGGACTACAAGACATCTTAAGTATGAATGCAGGTCCTGGTGGTAGGTTTGTGTTGTGCTGTGCTCCAGTTGGCATAGCTGTTGTAGTAATTGGATTAATGGCATAGTCTACCACACACGGAGCGATCCTTTTGGACAATATAGAAACCCAGAGGAAAGAGCTCCTGCAGCACAGACAGGACCTGGCTTTCATTTTACCAGAGCCAGAGTGCTGTTTTGTGGTTTGTGCAGTGGAATAAAGTCTGGTGCGTTATATATCACAATTCTTTGTTGAAAGTGTGTGCAACATATGGCAACATACTGCCGGATTTGCCAACAATGAGAGCTCCATTATCAGAGAAAAGGTTGCAAATGGCTCTTGATTTAAACCAGTTGGCTATTAGAGTGCGGATGAAAGGTGCATCATACATGGGGAAGAATAATGTTGTTTTCTGTCACTTAAACAGTTGACTGACAGAAGGGAGGCTTGTGGGGAGGAGTTGCTTTTCATTGCCTAAAATTTAAATCTTTCTCTTGCCTGTTGAGTCGCTCACTGCTCCACCTACACTCTCATGTGACTCTAAGCAAACTTTTGAATGCAGTGACATCAACAGTAATCATGCGTTTGATTGGAATACACGTCAAATTGAAAATCAATTTGGGTTTAACTTTGCTTGGTGAGAGTTAATTTCAAGGGAGATTTGGTTTATGAGAAATGCCACAAAGGTCAGCATATCTTGATCCAAAATTAGAAGTTAGAAGGAAACAACTACAGAGTGCATGGGCTAACTAGATAATTGAACTGATTAAATTAATTAGACTAAAAGATTTCATCAAGCTCATTATTATGAATGATTTCTTAAATGTGAGGCAAGATATTAATAACTCAGAGTCATAACGATGTTAAATAAATCTGACAACTGATTCAGACAAAAGAAATTGACAAAACAGGAAAAAAAGATCACACAGGAGAAAAAAAGAAAGTTTTACATAAAAAGGGGGTGAAAAGAGTTTGGTGGTTCTGGCATGAAGTAAAGGTCCTGTGAACCTGTTGGCGACAACTGAACTGCTAAGCTTTTGCTTTTAGAGTTTGTAGAGTCAGGATTGGCGCTTTTCAAAACTGCAAAATTCAGATTTTCATCAGCATTTATTCATGCTGGTGAGTATGAAAGGGTTAACGACTTCAGCTGTTACATGTGGGAAGCAGCTGGTGAAGTATCAAGGACATACAGATGTGAACGCTTTTTGACCTCAAAAGCAGCACCCAAAAATTTAGAATCGCCATCTTATAGATGTAGAAAAGCTGTTTCAGTTTACCTTTTTCCACCCTGCCGAAACACACTGTGGAAAAATGTAAATATTTTGAGGAAATCATCTGACTTCTGTACTTCAATAGTAGAACGACCCACCGAGCTCTTCGATTTTGCTTCCTTATTTATAGTGCTGCTATTTTTCTCTATTAAAGTGACCAAACGCGTTGATGTATGTGCGTCTTCAGTGGCAGAAAATATATTTATTTGGTGCGACAAACGTTTGAACTTTGGCGTTACAGGTTTGTCGTGTCAGTTTTATTTAAGGGGAAACAATAGGATCTGCATGTGCCGTGACCTAAAGAGCGAGCACAACTTTTCTTCTAAAATGGCAGATAAGCTAGTTAGAGATAAGGAAAGTCAGTGTTCTCTGGAGAAAAAAGTCCCTTTTTAAATCTAATGAGGAAGAATAGTGCAACGAACATGGAAAAAAATCCCACTGCTTTTGCAGTTTGAGATATTTGAAAAAAAAGAAGTAAAGAAAAAGTTTAAACTAAAAATGCTTTAAATCAATTCAACAATACCTAACACCGGTGAAAAGCCAGCCAACATGGCAGCAGTCTCCGTTTTACAAGAACAGGAGGAGGTTTTCAAGATGCTGTTGTCTCTGGTGACGTCATTGAGCTGGGCTTGAAATTACTGCGACTCAGACAGCCACCGAGTCCTGCTTGGCTTTTAAATGTCTCGCGTGGATTTGTGGGGGTTGCACAGTTTACAGTTCGGGGGCATGACTCTCCTTTAGCGGCCCTGTAGAGAGTTATAGCCCATTAGACAGGTCCTGTAATCAATACACACGCCATCGTCAAAAACCCCTATCATTAACAGCAACGCCGGACAGCTCTCCCTCCGTTTGTGTGTCCAAACCAGGGGTGCTGCTTTTTCCACTCCAGCTGCTCCGTCTGTTTGTAAGTTGCAATTGGGCTCTGTTTTGCTGTCTGCCTCCACATGTTTTTCTAATTGCTACCATTGACAAAAAAAAAAGAAGTGTGGCGAGAAAGAGGTATTATTCATCATCTGGATTTAGATTTCCCCCTTTCAGATTTTCTTTTTTTGTTTTGTTTATTTTGATTTTTTTTTTTCCTTTTCACAAGCAGCATCGTACCGTTATTCAAGCCAACCCCCGAAGGCACTCCTCATTACCACCTCAAACACCTTATTTTCCTTAATGGCATTATAACGCAATAAAGACCGTGTGCAGAAGCCAATCTCCCTGATAGAAAAACTGTGATTGACAGTTACAGAGCAACATTGACAACAAGCATCCTTCTATATTAGTCACGTGGAGGCTAGCTGAGGCCAGCGTGCTGTTGGGGTAGTTTGTAGCCAGCCGTATATCACAGCGCCCTCCAGCTTAAAGACCATATGGAAGCTGTTGGGTTGTGATCCCCCAGGAGGATGGGGTTTGTGGGTTTTTCGGTGAACACCACGTCTCTCGGAGTCAGCTTTAAAAAGTTGTCGGTGCTCCCCTCCAGATTCAGATATCCTCCACAGAGTGTCCCAGCATGTGGCCCATTAGAGGCGGGAAGCTGGAGTCTGAGGGGTGTGTTGGAGGCACAATAGGAGTCACTAAAAATAATGTATACTGTGACACGGGTCAGATGTAGGTTATCATAATTCCCTCATGGGTCTGAGGTGGGTTTTTTGGGGAGTACAAGTTGTGACTACAGTATTGGACCAAAGAAACCGCACTGTTATTGAAAAATGTGCATCTATGACAGAGACACCTTAATCTGATGAAATACAACCCGTGTAAAATGTACCACAGAGAACAAATAAAGGTTCAGTCAAGTGGTGTTGGGCTCTGCTCCTTCTGGTTTTGATTAGAAAAATAGAGAAGTTCGTTTCTGAGCTTTTAATGAAAGCTTGCAGACTTTTAAGAAACTGCGGTTTGGTTACAAACAGCAAAGTCTGTGAATGGGGAAACATGGAATGATAGCATTTCCACCGGCAACCATGTGGAAATCACATGTTGGAAAGAGATTAACACTCACTTGAAATGACTGGAATTGCGAAGCAATTGTATTAACTGCTCAATAAACCAATTCTTACTTCTCCAGTGGACAGTGAGTACAGATGAGAGGTGAATGTTCAGGCTTGTCTCTTCACTTTGCCTCCCACAGTCTTGAACACTTGACCTCTTTCATGAGAGCTGCCGGGTCTATGGTGGCTCCTAAAGAGAGCGTCCCGCTGCCATCCCAAAAGTTTTACATTTGCTCGTCGTAAATCGGTACAATTTAGCTGAGTTTCAAATAGTTAGAAATATTTTCAGAACCCAAGAGGTGCTTTGGATTTAGCTCCTTGACACGTATCACATCTACTGGCATTGGACACACACCAATATTTTTATACCTACAGAATTAACACATAAGATGACACTTCAGTAGTCAATCAAAAGTGAGTTGCTTAATTTCCAGGTATTTATAATCTTTCTTAAATATAACTTCATGTATTAGTGTCAGAGTTTGAAAGAGCATTTATCAAGCCCTATGTGACATTTGACCAAATTCTAATCTGTAGAGCAACTCCAGGCCTCTAAATCTGATGATTGTGTGTGATGCTCTGAGTCCTTCCCAAGATTATTGTGATTACACGTTCACTGTCAATAGCGTTTTCAGAAATGTCAGGTTATCTTTGGCAGCATCTGCGACCCGAGCAAAAGGCTGTGCTTTCGCAACATGTTTAAATTATGTCAGAGATGGCCCCTTGCTCAATGAAAGGGCTGTAAAGATTTGATGGGTTGTATTACTGAGAGTCGGGGAGAGGGAGGCAAATCTCTGGTGGATTGTAATGGAGTGGAAACAAACTCAAGTATGAAATAAAGGCCAGTGGAAGAGGGATGGCAATTTAACTCAAATGGACGAAGATAAAGGTAACCCTTCGAGGAATTAGGTACAATACCCAAAAGTCCCTGTTTTAACGTACTTATTTGAGATTTTTTTATCTCACCCTATTGTGAACATGGGAAATCTGTATTAACTGTGGCTGTTGGGGTAGAAACTCTCCTGATGAAGCATTATAAGAGTCCACTGATGGTAGAAGCTTACTTCTGAGTTAATAAGCAAATAAATAAATACATAGCTCGTTTCTTGTTTATCCAATCAGTCATTATTCAAGACTACGGAATATGTTTCATGGGATGATTGCAGATAAAATATTCATACAAAAACAAGCAAAAAACAAATGGACATGTTAACAAGGTTAAGATACATTGTCCAGTTTGAGAATATTGATAGCTGTTTACATTTTAGCTAAGCTCAAAGAATAGTGTGCTTCCAATTTTTAGAGTTCAGTCCAGAATAATTTGGATTAACTTTGCGTGTGAAGGCGTCAAAGCTTCATTCCAACAGTCTCCTCTTTTTAGATGACTGGATCTGGACACAATATCCCAAAATTTGGCCAGCCTCTCTTGGTCGTAATTAAGACTGAAGTGGCAATGCCTGGAATGTTTGCCATTTCTCCTCTTTTATTTCCAATGGATTCTCATTTTATTATTACTCTAGCAAAGTAATAATTGCTGCACATATTTGTGAAATGGATGGAATGTGAAGCAATTAGTTTTAATGATGTGCAAGACAAATCTGCACGACAGCAATTACTGTGACAATGTGCTCAACAGCCCAGAGGCAGGGCCCAGAGACAACACAGATAGGCAGTGACACTGTATGCTGTGGCCATGCCGGCTTCATGTTGGACATATGTCAGGCCCTCAGTCACTGACCTGTCCACAGGCCGTGTATTAGACTGCCGTCAGTGTTGTGTTGGGTCACTGAACATGCGCCATCGTTGGCCAGCGCTGTGCTGTTCCTCATTTTATTCCGGACAGCTTTATTTGAAGAATGCACTTTCACACATTACAACACTGTCCCCTTCCAACATAATGTCACTGGAATCTGCGGCCTGTTGGATCCAACGCACACTTCCAAGTTGAGCTTGAGCAGACTCTGGACCAGAAGGTAGCACCCAGCCAGCCCGTACTCTGTTAGAAGATGTGTGTTGCCTCTTGCCAAACAGAACTCAGGCAATCCCCGTTTTATCCCATAATGGAAAATTCTGATCATGTACCAAGTTATACAAATCCACAACCGCATTTCTGTAAATGTGCACGCTTCATCAAAAAAAGGGTGTACATTTTCCCCCGAGTAGTTAAAACGCTATACTTCAGTGAATTAGATGGTTCAAACTAAATTTCTTCACAGTAAAGCAGAAGAGGGTTGTTATTGTCTGATATTTAATCCCCAATTTGTCAGTTTTTCTCATTAAACCACCGCCCGATGATGGATAATGCAGTGATTTACAATTAAACAGGGATATTACTTGAGAAAACCACAATTCAGAACTCAGGAAACATATGTGGCTCTCTGCATAGTTACATATCTTTGGAAATAATTATCAGACGATGCAGTTGTGGGACGACGCTGTCGGGCTTCCTTCTGTCTTCTTTGAGCTTATGTAGTAAAAAAAACAACAACCCCCTTTTTATGTCCACCGCGCTTTCACCAAAAACTGCAGGGAACAAAGTGGCCGGGGCCTGGTTAGGATTGCAATAACAGGATATGTGCAGCAGGTAGGGCGCGCTTCTCGCCCGGTGGGGTGGTGTGTGACTGCCAGCTGGGCTGTGGCGGCGTTCCCGCCTGCAGTCCGTCACTGTTCTCAGCATCTGTGTCAATAGCATTCCAAAGCTGTTGACCGAGCGCCCACTGTTTGCTTTAGCCACTGCAGACCAGCGGCGCGATGCGCCGTTTGAGGTCAGCGTCATAAATCCTCAAGTGCTGTCCGCGACGTGCTTTTTTTTTGGGTGTTTCAAGATCAGGTTGTTTATTTTGAATCGCATGCCACCGCATCTCTCAGTGCTTGAGGTAGCTGGAGTGTAATTGGGAGGTTACGAGGCGGGCTGGCAAAGTGACGCGGATTATTTTTTCCATGGCTTTGAAATAACCTCAGCCATCTGCATTTGCAGACTGCTGCTAAATATTATGCGTGCATTCATCATTTTAGCGCCGCGCGTGCCACCTGATTTAGATTGTTGCTCAAATAAAGGATACAGCTCAACGGGCCATCTGTGTGATGAAGTGTTGGATATTCTCAACTTGAAATAGCCCCCAGGGTAGTTTTTTTTCCTCCTATTTGCTCTTCTTTAAACGGCCTTATACATTTATGACCCTCTCTTGCAGCCTGTGTTTCAGTGATGGGTTCAGAAATACCAGCAGCACTAAACAGGTCCATGTGCTCGTTTTATACGCTTTACCTCAGGCAGGAATTGGATAAAGACTTAATGTAAGAGATCATTTACATTCAGACTAAACAGGGCAGTTAAAAACCCAGAAGAAATGTAACCCGACAGTGGCTCAAACTCACTGTTGAATGAGAAGAACCAAAATGTTTCAGAGGGGAAACTAAAGGCCCCCTTGATTAAATCATTTCAGAGTTACTTTGGGAGAAGCCATTTCTGCTACCGCTCTGTCACACAGTGTGGGGGGGGGGGGACATGTTCTATTTAACACGACCTTTTGGCACACCCTCTGTTCTCTCTCCTCATCTGACTGTCACCCTCCCTGCCAGAACCGGGGCTCCTGCAGCCGGCCGCACACGTGCGTGTGCCGCTCCGGCTTCCAGGGGCCTCGCTGTGAGGAGGTGGCCCCTGAGCAGGTGTACATCCGCGAGCGGGGCACCCTGAGGCGCGTTCAGCCCGGCGCCAGCCTGTTCCAGAGGGACCAGCCACAGAGACGGCCTTCAGAGAGGCACGCGACGGACATCACCAAGGTCCAGACCCCGCGGCCGGCAACCACCAGGCAGCCCAGCCACACCGCGTGAGTAGCTCCCTGACCCGCCGTGTTAGTCAGAAAGAGGGAGACTGGAAAAAATCTGTTTGTTTTTTTTCAAGTAATGCCGTCATGGTCTTTACCAACAGAAAGTGTTCCTCCTCAACTGCCTCTTTGTCCAGAGGTCAGTGCCGTCTGCATGGTGTGTTAAGGGTAAACAGCTCGAGTTTACTTGTTAAACGCATTTTCTTATTGACTCTGCCAGTAAACTCACAGATGGTGGACAAAAGGGATTTTTTCCCTCTCGCATTTCCCTCGGTCAGATTTTGAGACCGAAGACAGCATGGAACACTTTGGTTTGTTGTATCCATATGTTGTCATAAATACTACGCTATTTTGTGGTTTATAGAAAATGTCCTTTTTTCACTTTGCATGCATGGCGAATTAAATCTAAACAGAATTACTGCTTTGAAAATTGAGCACCAAGATGATTTTATGAATTTATCTTTGGGCTTCATCTGCTTCAGCTTGTTCTTTGATTTACTGGAATTTAAGTGAGTCCAAAGGTTTTAATCAGACAGTCTTAATAGTTTCTTGGCTTGAATGTCAAACTGCTTAAGATCTCTTCTTTTTAGGAAATATTTTTGTTGGTGCGATTAATCACTTTACCACTGCTAGAACCATATTTCTGATCAAGGATGTCGAAAAGAAGTAATCGTTTCCGGGAATTTTTTTGATGGATTGTTATTGCTTGCAGGTTCCGACTTATCTTGTCAAATGGCGCTCCGTTTTTGGACTCAGACCAAGTGCTTTTCTAATCCACTCAGAGCCTCTTTAAGTGCCATAATTTGTTTGGGCACTGAGGTCATCACTCAGTATTTAGCCAGTATGTCATCTGGGTAATTTCTCAAAACCACAGAAACATTCTCAATTATATCTGACAGTTATGGTGCTCCTCTTGCTAATTATGAAGGTCTTGTGTCATATTGCGCTTTTGTTGGTGTTGCAGAATAATGCTGGCCAAGCCATCCACGTGTTTGTGGTAGCTCAGTGAAACTCTCCGAAAAATCTTGGCAGATGGTTAATAAAAGAGCTTTTATACATCCTCCTTCCCAAAACAATTATCTTGAAGTCATAGTAAATCTTCTAATCAATACAAGATCTCCAGAGAGTGCACAGTTGCTATGCATATGTTTTCTTTGTTCTTGACGCACAGGACATATTTGTGTACTGAGTCACAGATCTGGGATAAATAGAGTGAGACTGGACTGCAGGTTGAACATTGTAAGAAGCAGACAGTGTTCCTGAATCACGAATGCCCCAAGTATGTGCTGCTCAGGATGACTAACCATTAGTAAGAGGTGCTGCTAAGTTCACCAAGAGCCCTGTTGCCTTTGTAAAATGTCCAGCTAATCCAAGGATTAGTTGTTGAAATCAGGGAATTTTGTGAAATTTTCAAGGCGGGATAAATCTATCAAGTATTTTAACAGCCTTCTTATATTCAAATAGCTGTTTAAATGCTGGACTTGGATCCTCCAAGGAAGCTGTTTGAGCCTTGTGTCAAGGGCCGGGAATTGTCGACATTTTCTCAGTGGAGAATAATCCTTTAGGTGTGGAACTGTGCTCCCTATAGATAACTGAGAGATGCAAGTCTTGGTTTCAGATATCGGGGTTGAGTTCCACTGGATACAAAGCCAAGAAAGCGCGAGCAACGTGAGGTCACAGAGAGTGAAAGTCAGATAGTGAGAGTGGTGCCAAGGCTCAATAAAGGAGTCAGAGGAGGTGAGTAGGGAGGACAGATGCTCGGGCCGAGATGGATCGTGTTGGCCCCGTTCCCACTTATATTTTTCGGGAGCAAGCGCTGCACGGTGCTCACAGCCAGTCTGCTTTCATTTTTCATACTAAAGAAGGTGTGTGCTATGTATGTCTTTTTCAGAACATATTTGGCTTGTTATGTTAGTGGCACCCTGTAAATAACACAGCCTGTCGAGTGGCGCCAACTACATGAAATATCCTAAAGAAAGACAAACCAGAAGGGGAAAGTAGGAAAGGATATTGAGAAACATGTCGTGCTGAAAGAAAAAGCTTAAGTAATTTCCACAGGGCATTGCTTTTTCCAGACACAATGCTTTGCCTTCTCAGTGTCCAGTCAATATTAATTTATGGTTTTAAAAAAAGATTTGATTTATGCACATGAAGATGATGATGTGTGGCTCAGATGCCATCAGACCATCACTTAAGCCTTGCAGGGCTTAAAAGAGGCTTTTTTAATCAGACATAATGGTATCCTAATATATTTTGAGATCTAATATTGTCTGTGTTTATTAACGTAATTGCACAATACAGAGTTTGTGAAAGAAAATGGTACAGAGGAGTATGCATTAATCTTATAATGGCCAGAAGCCATCAGAACATGTCATATTTGACCGATCTATGTATACCAAAGGGAAGGTTGACATGGTGGGATATGTCATACTTGACATGTGTATGTTTAGTGTTTTAATGGTTCAACCTCTGGTGATTATGAGAGCAGCTGCATATGAAAAGTAAAAATTGTGTCTATGCCCAAATAGTCTGTGTTGAGTTCTGACCATGATTGTTTGGAACTTTACCAGAATAGAAGTTATTTCTACCTTTATCCAAGTGATTCTGTTTTTAAACCCAACCAGGAAGTGGTGTCATGTTATTTTATGTTGGTTGGTTTTACCCACACTTCCCTTAAAAAGTCCATGGTTAAATCATTTCCTTCCATCATCCCTCAGTCAGAATTTGTATCTTGTTCTTCGAAAAAAGACTTGTTTGTGATGTCTGCCCTGATGTGGCAATGCTCATATTACCGAATATAAGAATAAACAGCCAGTATGAAAGTTTCAGTTGGAAAATAAATTGGGTATTTAATTGTTTTAGGATTAAACCCTAATGTTACACAAAAATTGGAAGTGTAAATCCTAGAGATGCTATAGATATTCCACTGTAAGTTGATTCATAAGCGGTGTCTCCGAGCACCTGAGTTACTGTTCCCCATTTAAAGGATTTATTTATGAGATCTACACTCTGCTTTAAAGCTTCTTAAAAGATACAAATGTTCCCGATGACCTTATCATTAAATTACCTTCAGTTTTACTTTAGGGCTATTAAATCATAACATCAGTAGTTTCTACTTAAGTACAAACTCGACCATCTGAGATAAAGTTCTTCTTGGTGGGACTGACAGAACCTAACCTTCGTAACGGGAGATTCTGGTACTTGGGAAGGCAGTTACTTATTTTCCCGCTTGGACTCTTATAACATAAGTCCAAACACTTCAAGTTCATATTCAGTGGCATAAAGAGTTAAATTTAAAGTGCGTAGATCATACGTGTCACTGGCAGCCAAATGGAACAAATACATTTCACAGTAATCCTGTGTTACCCATGAGTGTCCAGCTCGGCAGTAAAGGCTGTGAAAGAATGTGAAAAGGCTGGTCCCTGTCAGCCCAAGAACCCCGTAAATCCCAGCTTGAAGGTCAGGGCCAGTGGAGAATACTCCTGGCGTAGCTGGAACAGCGATAATGCACACAGGACGTATTCCTCCCCTCCTGTGTGGACCTCATATCATCTCCACCGCTGAGCAGTTGACTCTGACATCAGCTCGGTGCAGGAAACAGACCAGGGCAGAGCAGGATGTGCCTGCTGTATGCGGGGCGTCCTCACAAAGGTCATCTCTCTCAGGCCGTGCTTACATAACGAGGCTCAGGACAGCCGTCAGCGGCTACCTGGATAACAGAGGTTTAAGGTTATGCTGCTGATATTTCAGGTCCTTGTTCTCATTTTGACATCAGATGATTCAACAGAAACGGAATTAATTCAATATAGAGGTACAGTCTATCTTCATTTTGGCGGACCACGCATGATGTTCTTTATCAACTATTTGACGTGAAAAAAAAAAATTGTGTCAAAATTGATCCAGTTCCCAGCCTGACGGAGCACCACAGGGTACCTGTACTTCAAACGGCACACATCCCAGTGCAGCACTTAACTTTTCTTTTTTTTTCCCTTAACACCTCATAGTTCTGTTTCGTGTTTTATCTACGCAATGACTCTGGTCTTGAAAAATGTGTCTTTTGCACGAAATGAAGCAGCTACATGTAGAGGATAGATGTGGCCACTGTAGTCAAACCTAAAGTTAAAGCAGGTGTGTATTAAAATGTAATATCATTGGTGGCTGATTATACTCCAATTTAAAAGCAATGCCAGTCTCTCATCAAATACTGAGTCAGAACTGTTCCCACACAAGTCATTGTACAGCGATTAGCTAGATTCACTCCTCCTGATCATTATACTTGTGATCATTAAGAAAGTTATCCTCTTGGGCTATAAAACTGTTGTAAGTTATGTAGAATCACTTCCTCAAATGTAATGCTGAATAAACCACCTACCCAAATGGATAAGACATCCTCTCTCTGGTTGCTTATGTCTGTATAATTCCATCATGAACACTAGATTTTAAACTGTTCATTGATATCAGACCGGATTAACATTAGCATTGTTTTTAAAAAGCAGCTTTCGATAGACTCGCCTCACCAAGGGACATGTGTCCGGCATCTTTCGGTCTTTCCATCAGAATGTGGTCCTTACCCAGATAACAAAAGGGTTTTTCTTTGGAGACTTGATTGCTTACATCTCCGTTGTTACCGTTACTTTTCTGGAAACAGTGGCAGACTGCGTTGAGTGACTTTATTTTTCCAAGGTGCCTAAGATCAGGTGAGATCATTTTTCATGCAGTTTTGCATACACACATTATTAACAGTAGTCCCCATTATTTGCAGTTTTCCATAGAAAGAATAGTTGGAAATTGTGTCTTTTGTTTTTCTGCCTGTTAAAATGTTCAATTGATTTAACACAATGGGTTTGTTGTACTGAAGACATCTTCCCTACCTTTCTGGAGCTTGTTCCTGCAGCCTGCTGCGTTTTCCATCTGACCCTGTTTTGCAGAGGAATACTTTGAGATTAAGGTAGCCAAAATTTTGTCACAGACTTTTGGTAGAAATTCCCTCCCAGAGAGCTCCC